GCAACTATATTATTATGTAGGACGTAGATATTATATTAATGCATATATGTCTATATACATTACGTGTATATAGGTACAAACTAAACAATTTATTATTATATGTAGATGATGAGTAGCAGATATTATATTGTAATATGTGCACGGCAACAGCATTAATACGATACGCACTTGTGATTTATGACACGGCCAACCGTGGTCGGGGTATACTGTCAACGTGTCTTTCGTTATATCAAATGCATCATATTTTTAACATTTTTTGTGATTAAAAAATGCGCTGCCAAGTAATATTAAAGTATAAAAAGCGGTCACAGCGGCGGCTCTGCAAATACGCATCATAGATAGTTGGGTAGGTAGGTATCTACACGACATAATATTATAGAATGCAATTCATAACAAACGGTTTGTCGTCAATTTGCAAGCACGTGATAAATGCAACAATCAGCTGTTTCTGATTAGTCAGGACTAGGTCAAGGTGACCTTGATATTGGATATATAACATATTATATATAATATTATATGATGTGTGTGTGTGCTTGTGTGTGCATTGCGTACAGTTCAACTGCAGTATATGACGTGTACTTAACCCGCAGTATATAATTAATTGCGACATATTGTACTTGTACTTATATACTTATATATATAATTAATATGTGTATATATATATATATATGCGTATTATGAATTATTGTTTTTAAAATGGACTTACTATTATTTATTTAATTATTATTAATTAATCGATATCTTAATGTGATTCGAGTGGAAATAATATAGGTGTTAAGATGTTAGCAGATGATTACAAAAAAAAAAAAAAAAATACAGATACCTTTACTTATATCGATGGTACGACCGACACCTTACCCCGTGAATAATACACAACAACAGAATTACGATTTAATTAACGTTAAATTCTCATACAATATTCATATATTATATAGGTATGAACTGTTTTTAAATTTGACGAAATCGGTAGCGTGTTTTGAACTCATTGTTGAGTAACGAGTTTTAAATAATATCTGGTTCTAGTATAAGTCATCATATTATAATATAATTAAATAAATAATAATAATTAAATAACTTGCTGGTATTCATATTATATAGCAACAACTCGCTGTAGATGTTATACATAGAACTATATACAACTTTAGTACTCTAATATACATACATGTCTGTTGGCGTACCTATGTTTTTAAATCATTATCAAGGCGATACTTAGCAATATTTGTTTAAATAATTAATTTATTATTAAACATGGAAATATAATATTAAAAATGTTAAACTGCGTGTTTATACATTTTATACAATAATTTTCCTTATTATCTATTACGTTTATATAATAATATCGTTAGCATAATATGTATTTTTTATAGCATGAACGTAAAATACTGACATACAGAGTAAATAATTTATTGGTTAAAGTGCATAACTTATATTAGTGCATTAGTGCGTGCATTAGTGCATGACTTATATAGTTATATTAGCATGTCTTCATATTTTCATTGTAATAGATAAACATCTAATTTTAATATAATGTACAATAATACACTTTTTGACTTTTTAGAATTTTTTTATTTCATCATCATAATTATAAATTAAAAATATATTAAGACAAAAATTGCAGTTAGAGTTTTCTAGTTTGTAAATGTTTTAAATGTTGTATATTATAATATCTTATGTAAATTCATACCATACAAATTACAATATAGGCATAGGTTTATTAGTATAATGGTAAATTATACTTAGGTACCTATATGGATATTATTCATTGGATGTATAAAAAATACATGCAAGTGTTTGTTTCTTAATTACGCTATACAAATTACTAATTCAAATGACATACGAGTTAACATTCTGCATTTTCAACTTATTAATAGGCATTTTCTATAAAACATAAATTTTATTTTGGAACTCTCCCAACAAAGATAATAAAAATAATAAATACAAATTTATGAATTCATTTTCATAAACATCGTTTTTTCTACTATCTATTAACATAAAATTGTGTAAACACCTGTGTGAACTTGAATTACAGAAGGTTCAATTAATTAACATTTTAATCAATTTATGTTGTTCGGAATTGTTTTGAATTTGTATTTCATCAAAACTCTATATTATATAATATTACGTAGATACGTATACTATACTTATGGTAAGATTTCTGTAAGTCATTAACTTTTTTATAATTTTAAAAGTCTTATTAAATGTATATAAATTATTTAATATTTAAATTTATTGTCCTATAAACTCATAATAAAAAAAATATATATTCTTAAAACGTAAAAATCTAAGAATGGCAAAATATTATATGAGGATATTTAAATAGTTAAAAACATGACTCATAATATATTTTCTATGAATAAATCCTAGTAAAATTGTTATGTACTTATCTATGCTGTTTTAAAGTTAGTCAGCAAGAGCCAATCGGTGGACACTAGAGTAGGTATAATATGCATTATTATAGTACGAGTGGGCGGGAATAAACCTTGGTACGAGAACAAACACGACTTACGACTAAACGATGGACATTGAACACCCCATAGCTATTATACTTTTTACCTATTCGTAGATATGATAGCACAATATAGTTTACTAGCTATGCCCATACGTCCTGGTCCTACAAAACTACCTACTGTTATACGAACGTTCAAGTGGAAAATATAAAATTATGAGCAATTTGTATTGATTGTTATTAGTTGATGGTAACTACGTCGATATGATTAAAATTGTAAGTTCAAAACTTAGAAAATAATAACATATTATATCATATACATAGGCAAAAAGTAAATTGCCTACATAATAAAACAATATACATAAAATATATACCATAATATGTTAAATTGTTAAATATACTTCTCATATTATCCTAGACCACAATAATATATACATTATAATATAGAATGTATCAACTATAATTTATTCGTCGCATTCAAATCTGTAACTTTCTATTAGAGCAAGCATCTATATAGTAGGAAGTACATTAGGAACCACAAAAAGTGTCCGTGGTTTAGAATAATGTAAAACATAATAGTTTTCTTTACAATGTTTTATTGAATTCTTTACAGCATTGTTTTATTTATTTATAATTTACATACACACAGAGTATATTTTATATCAGTGCAAAATGTTTATCCTGCACACAATGTCAAACAACTTTTTACAATAGTATATTCAATTTATCTCATACTATAAACTATAAGCTATGCTCACCATCCACTCTAGATTTTATACAACTACCCCCCCCCGAGATGTTTTAACTAAAGTGATTTTAACATTTAAAGACAATGCTTTAATCATAATTTTTTTTTCAGTTACCTCGACATTTATATAAGCACAATACTATTTTCAAAACTTTTTTTACGTATTATAGAGAGATAACCATGAATAAGTATAACTGTACATGTATTATGAACTATTTAGCTGTACCTACTACTGTAATAATTTTACAATGATGTGTATTTGTTTGCATTGATAAAAAAACAGTTTGAAAATGAAAAAATTCCTGGTGATGCTTTGTTATAATAACAGTTAAAAAATATTAGAATTACATGGACACCATTTTTTTTTTATTAGCATTTAAATTTTGTCTATAAATTAAATATTTTAACAAATAATAACGATTTTAGTTGTTTTGTTGTAATTTAAAAATATTATTTGGAGTAGTGGACTGACGTTTTGTGGGGTAACCACGTACCCCTCCACTCCGTTCATCTAAACATTTTTAACTTTAATTACTTATAAATTATAAGTTATAACTAATAAACAATTCTTCCTAAAATTATTCTGCATTCAAAAATTAAATGAGAGCTATAAGTCATCATTCAAAAAAGTAAAAAACTTAAAAAATTATAAGGATAAAAATATTTTAAAATATAATTTGTTTTTTTAAACACGTTTATTTGTAACAAATTGACGCCGTGTAAAAAAAAAATTTTCAAAAACATTAATAAGTTTAAGAATAATGAGTGGCTCATGATAAAAGAATCACAATACATTATTACATTTTATACGCGCAATGACATTTCAAAATGCAATGTTTCCGGCAAAAATTAATTCACCCTACCTACTGTATTAATTGCAGTAAAATAAATAACTTTAGCAATAATTTCATTAAATATACACAGTAATATAGGTTGATTGACTTACGCTCAGAATCGTTTTTCTTCTTCAATGATATAATATCGTTGAATTCAAATTTGACACATTCATTACAGTGACCCACATGACACCCTACATACTATATAGTATATATAGCAGAGCAGTACCCATTTGCCTACTTTTTATATATGTGTCTTGTTTGAAATGAAAACTGTATTATAATAGTGATGAGTCCAATAAAATTATCCTTTACTTAGAGTGGTTCAGTACCTGGATATTTCTCTTTTGTGCATGATTTTACTCCACCTAATACCATAAAGGCGCAAGATTCTGTCAGTGGTTCAGAGATTGATAGAGTTACATGAAGTAACGACTTGGGCGTTATTTTCACTGCTGATCTTAACTTCCGTCCTAACATTGGATCTATCTTATCAAATTAACTTTAAAACTCCACATCGCTCCACCAGGTCCAGAGTTCCCTTTTCTGTGCCTTTACATAGCACCAACTATGGTAGAAACCAATTGACCGCCTAATACATCTGGGTAACTAGGACCCTACCTTTCTGAGTGAATTCCCATACTGTATTCTTGATTTTATTTTGTTATATTTCATTTTTTTGTTATTATATAATGTATTTCATGTATAGTTTTTGTTTATGCTGTTACCATAATATGAATATCTTATTCTTTATGTCTTAATTATTATAATTTATGAATTTTGTACCTGTAATTTTACTGTACTATTGGGCCACCGCCCGTTATAAATGATAAATAAATAAATAAATAAATAAAATTAATATTCGATGAAATGGTTTTCTTAAAATAAACTTCTAAAAGGGAGAAAAATATATAACTGATTGGCAGAATTTTAGAATAAATAATGAATAAATACAAACTTTACTTAGGTAATTATCGTTCTTGGATGTAGTTATATAATTTTCATAAATATTAATAAATGTAAATATAATAATTCTAATTATACTATTATTAAGTGGTATCAATTCAAAACGATATGTTTACATTATAGGTACCTATATTATTATATTTATAAAACATTATGTTAATATTACTTATTATCACATAGCCACATAGGTATGGCAGTATTTGTGTATTTGTAGTGTGTATACACTTATTTATCACATGTTGTACTAGTGCAAGGTCAAGTTCACTAGGTTAGAAATGCAGGATCCAAAATACATATAACTAGTAACTACCCAGTGTAACAGAATATTATGTAATTGATATCTACTACTTTAATATAATACTTATAAATTATAATAATATAGATACCTCTAATCTATAATATAATATAAACACATTTCGATTAAAATAAGAATTCAATTACACTAAATCAATCATTATTATTTATTTAGATAGGTAAACTTTATTCAATGTATTAAATGCCATACTTGTTAAGTATACAAAAACTCAATAACTATTGTGTATTATACTAAATTTTAATTCTGTATTCATTTTACCAAATACAAAATCAAAAAACAAATATTTAAATTTAAAAATAAACCAATCTGTGAATATCATTGGTAGATGACTATCTAATTTATTCTCTCTCCGTTAAGATTATTATCTAAAATTCTAAGGCACCTCGGAGGCTTTTATTGATGTTTTAATTTTAAAGCAAGTTATGTTCGTTTTAAGATTTACAAAAAACTACAGATTTAAAATGCTTTTAAGTTTACTTTGTAATTAAGATATCGTTAAAATCCTCAGAGATGCTTTAGAATCTAGACGGACTAGATGATAATCTAACCTTTATTTTTTATAATTGATAAATCACTCTAATTTTAAAAATAACAAGATAAAATGGATTAAGATGAACGTGAAATTTGCTATGATATACCTATATGTTTTTAAGACAAAGACAACAATGTGTGTGTGGTGTCCTTTTAACATTAAAACTATTGAGAATTACAAAATCGTTTGAGATAAAAAAAAAATCCCATTTCTAGTAGATTATTTATCAAGAATTATAATATTTTTTTTTTTTGTATTTTGCAAGATCTATTTTTTTATTTTTTACACTATACGTAGAAAATTGTATTAAAAAAAATTATGTTTGTTCAGTTTGTATTCTTGCCATCAATGCTGCTCGTTGTGCATCTGTAACTACAGCCGGACATTTTTTCTTCTGTACAAATTTGCAATCTTTGAAAAATCCTTCGTGCCTTGGAAGCCCGTGGGATCCATCCTTAAACGTTACTAAACCTATACAATTTCAAAAATCATACTACATATTTTATGGAAGAATATATTATTTGATTTAGTATACAATATAATATGTAAGCCTGTATAAGAATTATTATACACAAACCTATGCGCATATCACACATTCGTATAACCTAAATACTTATATTATAGTATATTAGTAAAGATTTTTATAGTTTTATTTATACATAAAAATATATAAAATATATAGTGATCTTAGCTCTCGAGTCTGCGTGTTTGAATAGTTTTATTTAAATGCAAGTACTGAAATCTGTATTACCTAATCCCCAAATACGGCCACCTCGAAATTGTCCTTCGTACTTCATGCCATCAGCCCTCCAAAACATCCCGTGACCATGAAACCATCCTTCCATAAATTCTCCTTCGTATCTGCAATGTATTCATATAAATAAAAAATGCACTAATAAGTCATTGAACCATTAACGTACTATGTTTGAATAATTACAACGATGTTTCATTGCTATACATTATTTATTTTTTTAAGTATCTACCTCGCTCCATCCGGGTACTGGAGAACTCCAAGACCCGAGCAAAGTCCATTGCTAAATCCTCCTTCATAGCGTGTGTTGTCTTTTAACTGGACGTGACCTAAGCCGTGTTTTCGACCTCGATCGTTCCAGTCTCCTATGTATTTCGTACCATCCTCGTACACATAAGCTCCAAATTTGGTAACCCTAGCTAAAAAACATATATATATATATTTGCGATATTGTTATAAATCGTTGTTCCAACAATACCTTTTAAATACAGTTGCTTAGTAGAGGTGAAAAGTTATTTATTTTTTATTAACAAATCTGCCATTAAAAATTATAGTAGATTAAATAAAGTATTAGATACAGCTTCTACACGCCCACCAATAAAGTATTTTGTATATTTTTAATACAACCGTTTACTGAAAACTAAAACTACCTAGGTATTTATAACAATTAAAAATTATTATTAATTATTAGATATAATTAAATTTTTGATTCAAAAATGTTTGAATAAGTTTAAAAAAGATGAATAAGCGATAAATAAAATAATTGTTATTTAAAATAAGACCATCGCAATAAAACAAATAAAACCTAAACATTACATAAAATTATATACATACCACCAATTATATATTCTACATTTCTACATAGTATACACCATACAATATATATTATTTTTGTAAATGTCATTAGTTTCATATGCCAAATGAACTAACTTAACTAGGTAGGTATCAGGTATGTATTTTTTATTTCCATAAAATAACTATCACTTATCTGCGTTAGTATTTAGACATCAGAAGTTAAAATGTTCGTCAACAGATTGTATTTAAATATATATTTTATTCATCAAATAATAATATCATCATAGTTCGTCATTGATTAGATTATCAATTATTTGCACTATTGTATTTGTATATATTAAACAAATATTATTTTTTTATTCTAAAATGTGTATACCTACTTAAAACGTATTCTTTCATTATTTTTTAAGCAAGTAAATACTAAATTACTTATTATAGGTACTATAACACTTATTATGTTACTATAACATTTTATATTTAATTATTAAATCTACTTATAGGCAACGTTGACAATTTACACTTGTATTATCTAGTCTTTTCAGTATGAATTAGTACAAAAATGATCTCACCTGGCTGCATAGTTGTACTCCAAAATGTACACGATATGTATAAAATGGTAGATACTAACGTTATTGAAAGTAACAAAAGCTAAGAATGTTTTATTCTTATGAGGTTTCATTGTCTGCTATCGATTAGCGTTCATACTATATTTAATTTAATTAAGCGTAGGTTGTGTAGGTATCTATGCTTACAAGTATGACGTACGTATGACCAATCATAGCCTTGTACTCCAAATTTAAATATTATAAATTGATTTTTAGACGTTACTCTAAAGTCTAGATAATGAGCCATGTACATGGTTAGGTTGACTAAATATTTTTACATAAGGAATTTTGTACTTAATTTTGGGTGTTTATTATTTTGGGTCGTATATTGAGTCACGTTGTTGAGTACAATTGAGCACGTTTTACCTTTTTGGGTAGGTAGACGATTGCGCGCAATGCCGGAATGACAAAGAACACGATTTGGACTCTTCAACGGCGTTCGACTGCACGTAAAATTGGAAGCGACGTTGTCATACGTTTCTAAAACAAATTACAACTATTTCAAAATTATTTTTAATATTCAAATACATGTACAAATATATCCTTTCAGAAACTAATTAAATACATTTACTCAAAGAGTTATATTAGCTTAAAAAAAAATATTATCATCTTCTAAATTCGAATGGTTACATTTACATAGATTAGCACATTTAAGGATAGGTAGTCCCCAAATTTTTTCATGTTAATTTTTAAATTTTAATAATCATTGTGCGAGTATCCATAACCATAAGATAATATGAAAAAGATATAGGGGTTTCAGCACCCCCGGTTTTTTTTATTGAAATTGGGCTCCTCATTAGACCTAAGTATTTTACTAATTGGAAGGTGGTGATTGAAGTATAATATGTGTTTAATAAACAGGGTATCCGAATCGATGACTATAATTCACCGCAAGTACAATAATTATTACAGTAAATAGGATTTTTAAGTGAGTTAATTTTAATTTTTTTGTGTTTTTATAAAAAAAGGTATTTATAGGTAATTGTGATCTTTCTCGAAAATTGCTGATTAGTAATAACTGATAAGTAATAACAGTTAAATATATATTCAATATTGTAACTTAGTTCCAGCCGTATTTTTATGACACATAGTTAAATTATTTTTTAGATACATGGTAGTTAATTCAATTGTTATACTACTGTGTATTATCTACCTAACAAATTTAAATTTACTTATTTTCGTTTATTTAAAGAAACAATTATAGTACTTTGAAAAAGGTGCTATGAATGCCATTTAAAAACATTTTTCAGTGTTTTCACAAATAATAATAGTCAAGTATAACTTTTTAATTTTAAGCAGTCTGTTTGGAGACATGTTCAACTGTCTGTAGGACTTCAACAAAAGCACTTCTGAATTTGCTCTTCAAATCCGAATGATGAGTGACTACTGTCGTTGATCAAGTTTTTATTTTAAAGGTTACTTATTAATAATAATTAATAATACACACAAATAAAGACATTTTTTCATCTACTGCGATCTATTTTTAAAATACTTGTATTGGATGAATGGATTGCAGAAGTAGAAGAAAGCCTTTGCTATAATAGAATTATTATTAAATAATTCTACCAAGGTTGGAATAATGGAAAATTTGCCACTACATGAAATATCACTATCATCCTAGTATTTGAAAATGCCCTGATTAAAAATAAATTTTTTTTTAAATGTTTTAATTAAACAGTATGTAGATCAGAACATTCCACGAGAATTAAAAGGAAGTATAAACACTTTTCAGAATGGTTGTGGTCGAAAAGTAGGGTCAAATGTACCGCTATAAATTGATATAATATAACCTTGTGAATCGAAAACTCAGCTACTAATGTATTTGTAGAGGTAGGTTGATCAGAATCATAAAGTATTGGCATTTGGTATCTATTATAGAGGGTCGTTAAGAGGACGCCGCACCCCCGCGGTGCGTTGAAACCCGATTTACTACAGTCCCTTTTTTTTGAATAGAAAGATTGAACACAATCAAAAGAATGCAACGTTGTTAATTTTTCTGTTCGTGCACGATCAAACATCTCCACATACGGATAAGCTTATGGAATACTCGTACATTACGTAACGTTCATTGTACAGTTTTTTTTTTGTTATTTACACGTAACATTTTATTCTAAGTTTGTGATTTTTGACAAAAAGTAAATTTTACGCTCAACTATCAGTCGTTAGTCGAGTTAAACTTTTTAGTTTGATTAGTTGTTTGATGTTACTCGTTACTGCACCATCTTAATTTAGTAGGAAGATATTACAGTTTAAGTTAACTAACTCATATACGCAGTGGCGCACTACGAGAGTGCTTAAGCACCCCCAACTTAACTTTGAGCTCCCGTTGTGGAAAGTGAAAATGTGTGAAAATATACTATTGGACTTTATATTATTCGACGTGCCCCTAACAGGTTAGGTTTTATACTCATATTCATACTGTGATAATTTATTAAAGTGTCGAAACAAAAAAGAACTCAACCAAAGGCTTTAATAAATTACCATTTAGAGACCATTGCCAGACTTAGCTAATGACATTATTCCAGACGAAATATTGAGTACATTGGCTATTATTGATATTTTATTATTATAAAATACTACAGTAAAAAGATAAAATGTGTTACATTTTTTTATTATAATGGTATTGTGAATAATAGTATAGTCAAAATATTGGTAATATGTAATATTGAAGGGGGGATGGAGAACGCTTTGTTAGCAGTTCAGAATTGTAACAATTGCAGCACCCCAAATATTTGAAAACTTTAGTTGCTCCACTTCATACACGCGATAGGAAATTATAATATTAAAGTTATTTTTTTGTTAAGAGGAAAAGAATTTAAAAAAAGTTGGAGCGAATGTTATAAGTGAAAAGTTATTCACTATTTATCTATTTATATTTTTATGGTATTTCTAAACGACTTGATATAATGTTTAAGGACAAGAACGACAATATTATACTGAAATATATAAAAATTAGGAATAAGTACACCAATTCGGTTAATAAGTTAATAAAAACGGCAACGTTGTACATAGGCCAATGTACAACACTCAATCTTATTGCATTTTGATAATTTTTGGATTCCTATTGTTTGATTTAATCTGGGCTCAATCGGGCCGTGAAAAAGGTGTTGTCTGGTTGCGACCCCACAGGGCGACTCCACTACATCATGTTAGGTTACTTGTGGTATAGAATATTTGGTATTCCTGAATAAGAATAATATACCTATCCAAAGTAAAATATTTATAGGTTTGGTTACGAAAAATGAATGGTTATCTATACTTAAACACAATGGAATTCAACATTGATTTATTTTTAGTTAATTTAAAACGATATAGGTATCTACTGTTAGTGCAAAAAAAAATACATATATATGATAACCATAATTGACTATGAACATTACATACAAATATTATGTATTATGTGTAAATTACCAAATGCATTTATATAAAAATAATTATATTAGCTATTATTGTGCATATGAATGACAATGTAGGGAAAACTCAATACAATAATAGGTGGTTAGCTGATTTTCTTTACAATAAGTTACGTAGCAATACTTTAATAACAATAATAACTTTTATATAGATATTTTATATTTAAATTATCTACGTACATTCAATAGACCTAAGCCACAGTAAAGTGTAAAGTTCTTGTTTGCATTTCCTATCATCAACGCATAATATTTTAAATAATTTAGAATCAAAAGTCACACACGTCACAAAGTACCGATGTTTACATACCTATCAAAGATTTACGTAAATAATAATATTATATTATAATAATATTATAACAATATATTTATGCGTTTCTCCCCCCCTAAATATAATTCTATATAAATGCCCTTGGTCGATGCCAAAAGTTGTTCTTAACAATTTTCCTCTGACGTATAACACAAGGTTAAATTAATACAATTATTTATATTAAATGTAAGTAGGTATGACTATACAGAAAGGATACTTAAGGTATTATTCCTGAAATGTATTTTTCCACTAAACTATAATTTGTAACTAAGCGCTAACTATAGAAGGTATAAATTTCTATGAATAATTAATAAATCATGATTACTAAATTAATTATTATGTTGTTAGGTTAGGCTAAGTTACTTGGAATCTATTAAAATAGTATAGACGCTTGTACACTTACAGTTCAAAGTTGTAGACAACGTAAATCTCGGAAGTTAACTATTTATTGTCGAAACTAAACAGTTTTTGATATTTTATGAAAATAATTTAATTTGCAAGAATTTATAAATTTCTGTAAATCATTATCCAATAGTATTTCAATTATCAACTGAAATATAAAATTTAATTTTTTTTTTAAATACCCTGGGGCTTTATTATTTTAACGACCCAAAGGTCTTTATACAAATGTTAATGATACAAATAATTATATTTTATTTTACATACCAGAATAATATTTTGAACATTTTAATTTATTTTATGAGGAAAACATTTAAAATAATTTATTAAAGTATTTCAAGTATTTATTGAAATATTATTAATCACAAACAATGAAACAAAGGCATATAGACAACATTAAATAGGTATTATTATTTAAAATTGTATTAAAAAGAGATTTATTTATACCAACTGCCTCTAAAAATATTCTTAAAAATCATTATTATTTTTAATTGAAATGATATTATTCGCATAATATGTAGAATATTGTTATTATTAATTTTACTAAACTACTAACTATAGTTTATAATGACAACTGCAATTTGATATGTCATTCAATGTCATTAGCAAAATCAGCACAATTTAGAATCCGGTATAATGGGCACGGAAATTATTTTTAATTTGGAGTAAAATGAAAATATTTAATGCAGCTCGATCTGGTGGATTATTTTTATAATACATGTTTTACGGAGTAACCGTTAGGTTACGTCACATACATATTTTTATATTTAATCACGGACATACGCATATACATAAATAAATATGTACGTCCGTGTATTTAATTGAGAAACATTACTATATGATTTTTTATTTTTTATTTTTATAATATGTAGTATACCTACTGTTTGTGCAGCCAGTAGACTTTTGCAGGTCAAAAATAATTAAATTGTACGGTTGTACATCTTATATTTACTT